AAACCAAAGAAGATACAAAATCAATACAGCTGGAGGCTTGTTTTTAGTAAAGCCTTGTTCCGTATGAGCATGTGAAACTGACATTCACATCACACCCATGTGACTGATAAAAATGTCATTCTAAAATTGTGGCCTTTGATTTGCAGCTGTAATGGCCCTCATGTGCATGTGGGGGTTGCAGAAGCACGTCCTCTGTTCAAAACAAACACAGAAAGGCTTTCAGACATGCATTCTTTGTAGACCAGCTTGTATTGTCAGGCTTGGCTTCACTGATCTTGTATTTTTTTTTTTATCTTTTGGAAAACTGAAAAAAAAAACATAAAAATAAAACTAGGAATTGGATGTTTTCCTACCTTTTTCCAATTTGTTTGCATGTGCCAAGTGTAAAAATGTAAAACAACCTTCCCCTTATGTGATGCATCTGCAAAAGTGTTGTGAAGATAAATTTGGCCTCAAAGAAACACCTTCTGAAAACGTTTCAGTTCTGCAAACAAATTTAAACGTAAGACAAAAGCTAACTGGAGTTTTAAAAAAATACAGTTTTCAAATGATGCTTTCAATTATTAACCCTTTATAGGGAACTCACTGAAGAATTTTCATTTTTAAAATTTCAACCCAAGGGTGTTATTGTAGTCCATAACCAAAGTGTATTTCTGTTACAATTTAGAAAAATATTCTGATAGGTAATTTTTCATTTATCCCATATTACCTTAAAGGACGTCACACACAGAGAGAGAGAGTAGATTGATTATTCGTAATAGCTGGGCGCAGAAATCCCCTCCATGGAACCAACCAGCCCCCACTCTGCATGCCTGCATTCTCCACCAAAATGCTAGGTAATTAAATGTTGGGTAATATTTAATCTCCATAACCCTGGAACCTGAAATAAACACACATGACAAAAGGGAGACATTTTACTCTGAGTCCCCAAAATAATGGAGAGTTAACGCAGGGGAAACCCCCTCCGAGGCTGACCCCACGTCACTCCCCCGTGTTCTCCGTTTCTCAGGGGCTTTATTCAGCAAAGGATGGAGGAGAAGGCTGGGCCTTCTCAGGTTACAGAGGTACAGAGTTTTCAGTTGGAAACCCACAATCAACATCCTTGACTGCAAATGATTTCCTCTGCTCAACCTTACATGAACAGCCACAGTTGGCAAACACAGAGATTCATGAAGTGTTAATAAAACAAATTGGGCATCTTTTAGGCCTCAAAAAGATACAATTATAAAAAATCCCAACATATTCCTTTTCATGCAGAAAATCTGGGAAAAGGAAGAGATCAAATATGGACATTAGCCCTGCTCTGGTAAAGAAATCCCAAAATAAAACACATGAACAAATTAAATAAATATTATTTTTGAATGATATAGATAATTATAAAACACTTTAGAATAACCAGTGCGCTACCAACACTATCTATAGTGGGGATGGTGTGCTGCTGACCTCTACTCAGGACGTTGTGGATCGGTTGGCAGAATACTTCGAAGACCTCCTCAATCCCACCGACACGTCTTCCAGTGAGGAAGTAGAGTCTGGGGATTTTGGGTTGGCCTCGCAAATCTCTGGTGCTGAGGTCACTGAGGTGGTTAAAAAGCTCCTCTGTGGCAAGGCTCCCGGGGTGGATGAGATCCGCCCAGAGTTCCTTAAGGCTCTGGATGCTGTGGGGCTGTTTTGGCTGATGCGGCTCTGCAATACTGCGTGGACATCGGGGGCAGTCCCACTGGACTGGCAGACCGGGGGAGTGGTTCCTGTATTTAAAAAGGGTGACCGCAGGGTGTGTTCCAACTACAGGGGGATCACACTCCTGAGCCTTCCTGGTAAGGTCTATTCAGGGGTTCTGGAGAGGAGGGTCCATCGGATTGTTGAACCTCAGATTCAGGAGGAGCAATGTGGTTTTTGTCCAGACCATGAAACACTGGACCAGCTCTATACCCTTAGGGGGATCCTGGAGGGTGTGTGGGAATTTGCCCAACCAGACTACATGTGTTTCGTGGATTTGGAGAAGGCGTTTGACCGCGTCCTTTGGGGGTCCTGTGGGGGGTATTCCGCGATTCCGCGAGTATGTGGTACCAGGCCCTTTGAAACAGGCTGTTAGGTCCCTGTATGACCGGCGTCAGAGTTTGGTCCGCATTGCCGGCAGTAAGTCAGGCTCGTTCCCAGTGAGAGTTGGACTCCGCCAAGGCTACCCTTTGTTACCGATTCTGTTCATAACCTTTATGGACAGGATTTCTAGCCACAGCCAAGGTGTGGAGGGCATCCGTTTTGGTGGCCTGATGATCAGGTCTCTGCTTTTTGCAGATGATGTGGTCCTGTTGGTTTCATCAGAACGTGATCTTCAGCTTTCGCTGGAGCAGTTCGCAGCCAAGTGTGAAGCAGCTGGGATGAGAATAAGCTCCTCTAAATCTGAGACCATGGTCTTGAGTCGGAAAAGGGTAGAATGCCTTCTCTGGGTCAGGGATGAGGTCCTGCCCCAAGTGTAGGAGTTTAAGTATCTCGGGGTCTTGTTCACGAGTGAGGGAAAACTATAGAGTGAGATCGATAGGCGGATTGGTGCTGCATCTGCAGTGATGCGGGCGTTGTACCGGTCTGTCGTGGTGAAGAGAGAGCTGAGTCAGAAGGAAAAGCACTTGATTTACCGGTCGATCTAAGTTCTTACCCTCACCTTTGGTCATGAGCTTTGGGTAGTGACCGAAAGAACCACATCGCGGATACAAGCAGCCGAAATGAGTTTTCTCCGAAGAGTGGCTGGGCTCTCCCTTGGACATAGGCTGAGAAGCTTGGTCATTCGGGAGGGGCTCGGAGTAGACCTGCTGCTCCTCCACATCGAGAGGAGCCAGTTGAGGTGGCTCAGGCTTCTGGTCAGGATGCCTCCCTGGTGAGGTTTTCCGGGCACGTCCAACCGGGAGGAGACCCAAAGCTAGACCCAGGACACGGTGGAGGGACTATGTCTCACACCTGGCCAGGGAACACCTTGGGATTGCCCCGGAGGAGCTGGCCCAAGTGGCTGGGGAGAGGGAAGTCTGGGCCTCTCGCCTTAGGCTACTGCCCCCGCGACCCAACTCTGGATGAGCAGATGAAAATGGATGGATGAATTTTTAAAACATTATATCACTGTTCAAAAATACATAATACATCACAGTTATTAAACAATATAATATATTTTTATAAAAAGAGATTACTGTATAATATTTTTGAAAAGTTATAGAACAATATATACTGTTTCTGATCAAATATAAATTATTAAACTATTTTAGAATATTTTATATTTGAGGATCTGCCTCGATGTCATCTTTCTCCTTTTCATCATCATCACTATGGTGAGATTGCTTGGCGCAATGACTGTCCTCCTCAATATCCCAGAGAAATCTTAGTTCAAAACATCAAAATAAATTCAATATCATAATTGTTATAATTACTGTTACCCTGAATATTAAGATTATGTCTAAAAACAGATAAAACAGATTTTACCAAAAAATATTCATAATTTCTTTTACTTGCTCAGGCCGTATTGTCAAAATGGGCAGATTTGATTTTCATGCTATGATTTCACCAACTTCACAGAGTTTAACATTTACAACACTTATAAGCTTATTTAGCACAACTAGTCAACATTGTGATGTGAGAGTTTCATAAACATAGCATTGTTAGTTTTAGAGATCTGACTGCAAACACGAGAGGGAGCGGTTTTCTGGCTCTGCAGACACACCAATATTTGACACGTTATAGCCCCGCACCGATTGGTGGAAGGGCGCCATGGTGCAAACCATGACTAGCTTGATCTCTGATGATTGTTTGGGTGAAATCCTGCAATTCTAAGAGTTTATGAAAAGACACACCCTCATCATTAATGATGTGAGTGGAAGTGTCTAAATATGGACGTTGGCCCTTCAAAGGGTTAAGGGAAAATCTTTTTCCAAACTAACTTGGATTTATGTGGGAAAGGTAGTTGTACTCTAAACTTAATAACTGGTTGCAAAACACTTAGAGGAAAAAAAACAAGCTGCAAACAGTAGTCTCTCACATCTTCACGGAGGAATTGTTTCCCACAATTTTTTTTTTAAAATTTGTTTCAATGAATACGTATTGGCTTGTTTTAAGGTCAAAGATCACACATTGTACTTCAGACATTTATTGTAGAGAGTTGAATTCATAGTTTCATCATTTACAGCAAGTGGTCCAGATCGGGAAACAGCAAAGCAGCCCCAGACCATCACACTACCACCACCATGTCTGATTGCTGGTATGATGATTGGTCAAAATTACAGTGGCCATTTTACAAGACAAAGCTTTCATTTTTGACCATATTTGTCCTTTTCCTATTGTTCAGTCATGACCTCTGACCTTAACCAAGTCAGGCCTGCAGGTCTTTAGATGTATTTTTTTAACCCTCCCACTGTCCAAATGGGTGACCCTGCTAGGAAAGTTGACCATTGAGCAGGATTGATGGTTTATCCCTCGAGGTCCACGTGGCAGGGGTGAGGTGGTGCTCACTCCTCAACCCTGCCACATGGACCTCAAGGGATAAACCATCAATCCTGCTCAATGGTCAACTTTCCTCGTGGGGTCACACCTATTAGGACAGTGGGAGGGTTAAAATAAGGGTTGTTTTTATTCTTAAATTTCTTTAGAATGGAGCATGCTGTTTCTTTTTGACATATTTTAGCCTACGTCATACTTATTTCTAAAGGCCGGGTCTGGTTAATAAACTCAGAATCTATGAGGTAATAAATGGGGCAAATTTTTGTCATTCATATATAGTTTTATTTTGTATTTGTTTCCTGCACAAATCATGTTGTTTCAGATACCTTTCAAACAAACATCAATAGGGTGCAGCTTTGGATGAGAAATTATGATAAAAAACTGGAAAGAAGATAATATTTTCCCTAAGAGCAAGGCAGAAGACAGTGGAAGGACTTGCACCTCCTGTGTTATTATGTGACAGTCGGGCTCCACTGCCTCCTCCTCCTCCTCTCTCTCTCTCTCTCCCCCACTCACGCGCTGCCTCTTGCAGCCACTTCTCTCCATCACTCCGTCTGCTTCGCGTCCCCTTTCTCGTTTTGTCCTCTTTATTCCCTCATCCTCTGCTGTTGTCTTTTTCTCCCCGTTCAATTCGACATGCCCCGCACGTGAAGTAACTAGTGGCTGGATGAAGAGTCAGGAGGAAAGAAATCTGATGCTCTAACAAGGAATAAAGGAGAGCGGAGAAAAACACGCACGTTTTCATTCTTCATTGAGTGCCTTGGCTTGTTCGGAGCAACAGTATGGATCTCTCTTTCATGGCTGCGCAGGTGAGACAAATGGTTTTTGGTGATTTTTTTTTACATCTAAAATAGCTAAAAGAGGCTTGTCTGAACTTTAATCCAGTTAGTCCACAGATGTCAAGGGTGTGGCTGGTCAACAACTTTACTATCTGTGTCTGATGTTGGAGCAAATCAATGCATTCATTACCATTTGTAATAAAAAGCAAAAAGTTTATTAGGTTTAAGTCAGTTATGGCTGCAAAGAGTTGTTTTTTAATTGTTTGTGTGACTTAACCAAAAGCAAAATGATCTGAATCATCACTAAATTACATCAACATGCATTTCATTGCTTACTTGCTTTAATTAATGTGCAATTTCATCCCCTATTTGCAGTTATTCCACCAGCCCAATTGGGTCAAATCCTTTTTAGTTCTTCATGCCCTTTTGCCTTCCAAAAGAACACGTGCTGCTGTGTTTTTGACACCGTTTCCATTAGCCTTTTCTTCCTGCACTCAGTTCTCTTTTTATGTTCCTGCTGTCTGGTTGCCTTTGCTTTGTTTGCTTCCATCTACTTAGCCCTTCCCACTTAGCCATTAAGGGCTTCATAGTATTATTTTCTCTGCTAAGGGCTATTCTGTGGGGCCAGATGTTCCCAAATCTTTTTTAAATCAAGGCCCTCTAAATGGAAATGCATTGGAGCATGGACCCATCTGAGAATACGTTGTTGGAAAGAGAAGATGGTTAAAGTAATTACATTATTTTATTCTTGCAAGACGAGCTAAACTTGATCAACTGAAAAAAATGTACAACACATTTTTTTTGTTAAATGCTAAAAACATACAGTTCGAGCATATTCTGCAACAGAGAACCATTTGAAACAGCACTTCATCACAGAATTTGGTCTAAAGCTGCAGAGGAAGCCTGTGAAGTCCTTTTTATTTTCTCAGCCTTCAGAATTTAAGTCTGCTTTTGTGAACGCTGCTCTTTAAAGTCACTGTGCACAAATGTAGAATACACCAGAGGGGACTTAAATCAATATTCAACTGGTGTTTAAACAGAGATAGCTTTATAAAGTGGCTCTATGACCAAGGAAAATCAACCCTGTTCTCATTGAGTGCTTTCAATAACGTCACCGGATTAATGCTCATTACCACTGTGGAGGGCATGCAATGCCAAACTCGCATAGGAATTCAGAAACTGTCATCTAATGCAGTTATCTTATGGAAACTGTTTTTTTTTTATCTATCAGTGGGCTGGATCTGTACAGAAGCCAGGGAATAAACAATTTGGATTTTGACTTTTTCACTTAACATTTCTTACCTACCTGGTGTTTTACAGAAATCCAGCCTTTCACAGCACAGCAGATCAGATGAGAGCAGTGAAAAAAATCAGAACACCCACAAATTTTGATGAGTAGGGAATCTGAATTAAGACTTTTATTTATTCAACAGATTGATTTGGCTGTGGCATCTCCAGATGGAGCTTGGAAAACCAATCATTGTATAGTTCAGATAGTAATTTAATGATTAAAAAAACATGCAAGAGTTATCAATCAGCAAATGGTTTGAGTCAAGTTATCAGAACATCTGTAAGTTGGAGGATGATAATTTAGAATAAAGCTAAACGATTTATTTGCAGATAGTTTGTTGTGAACGCAACCTTACAAAGTCAATCTGCTTTTTTATTGACTAAATTGTGTTTAATCCAAATATAAACTGGATGAATGATTTTAAGGGTTTTTGCTTTGCTTCATATCCTTTAAGGAATTTCATTAGTAAGCTTGGTCATGATTTTTCTCTGCTGATGATCAGCCAACAGTTTGGAGACAAGTTAAAAAAAAACAAAAAAATAAAAAACGTTAACCTCTCTGAGGCATAAAAATCTCTCATTTATAAATGTGTTTTTTTAAAGATCTTGATCCTTACATCCACATTTGAAGTTAAATTACGTCATAAATGAGTCGTCTTGTGTTGCTGATTCTCTAGAGGTGCTATTGAAGACCGCATTAGTTCAGAAGTATCGTTGTTGCTACTGTTTGCAAAAACAAAGGCTGATTTTCTGCAGAAGTAAAAGAAACAAGGAAATTATTTCTTTTGTTCAAAAGCTGCTTTTGTGTATCCCTTTTCTAACCTAACAGTCCCATAATGCAACATGACCAACGTGCGATCTGCCGTTCTGAGTCTGACCTGCTGATTGGACTCTACACCACTTTTGTATCCATTGTGCTATCGTAGGTGGTTGAGGTCTCAACCAACAGACTGTTATCATTTTCCTTGCAGTCATTAACATAACATGGAGCAGGTATTTTCTATCATGAGCAAGATTGTCTGGAAAAATGTCCAGTAAAAATGTTAGAGGGTTCAGAGCAAGTTTAATTTTTAACCATCTTTCCAAAGTACCCCCAACATCCATCCAGAAGATGCGTATCACTGGGCAATCCCAAGAAGTGTGAGTTTGATCACCAAGTCCACAGTTCCTCCAACATTTCACTCATGCTGGTTTTAGAAAAAAAAAACCTTTTAGAGGGGTCACAAAAAACCTTATTTTCATTTTCCAGTCAAACTCCCTCCAGACTTGACTTTCCACACCATTATGGCAGCCCTGACAAACATTTCCCCAAACATCATCAGTTAAAACAACATTTAGCTCCATTTCCCACTGCTGTTTAACCTGCTGTGTGTTATCAGACATATCCAGCAACAATTTAGAATACATTAACGACACTTGTTTTTAATTACCCCTCAGTTCTCTATCAGATTGATCAAATGCATCTCTATATTTGTAGGCTTTCTTCTGGTTTGCTCCCAGTCTGTATGTTTTGTTATATAACTCCTAACTTAAAAGTACCTATATAGGTCTTTTTGGGGCAAGTCAAACTCCTTTCTCAACTGGGTAAAGGTTTTAACTGATCTTCCCTCAAACAGCTGATTGACTGTGATGAGTCCTTTCTCAGCCCATTCAGGAAAACCCCTATCTGACAGGGAGGGAAGGAACTCTACATTGCCATTTATGGGCATAGCTCGGGATAGTACAACAGCTCCTGTTAATTTCTACACAAAACCTGTAATTTTAGCCGGGTTTTGTTTTAATATCAATGACAGCGACATCAGTTCACATTGTATGGTTCACATTATTTTGACTGATACATTTTTAAAGGTAGTGTGTCAGATTTTTTATCTTTTTGTGCTCTTGTGGGAGCAGATCTCTGGAGACGTTTAGCACACATGAACCACAGACAAGACGCTGTACTGATTGTGTCTGCGCCACAATGGATATGAAACAGACTTCATACTAAAAATAGATCTAAAACGTAATAGAAACCAATATAAATGCCCTAAGTTACATGCTGCAATGAGACAGCACCAAGAGCCTTTCTGGACAATAATATAATATTTGTGCAGTATTATGAAAACCACCCAAATTTACATCTTTAGGAACACTAGGAGCTTAAACATGGAAAAATGAGCCAAACAAACCACCAGCTGTGACAAAATCTGTTGTGAACAAGAAAATTTAGAAAGACTACTTAGTGGTAATGTACTGAGTATTTACACAGTTATTGTCAAGCTCCACACTAGTTTCACTACAGGATACAAGTACAGGATACAAACCTCTTAAATCTGAGAGAAAATATCTAATGTTTTTCTACAGCAGGCTAACTCGGTGCTGATGATGCCTCAGTGTCTGAAAGGTTCAACTCACACCATTTAGCTACTGTGTGATTTTGGCAAAGCCACCCATCCTTCTTCCGGCTCTTGGAGAGTACAGACACTTTTTTCCTACTCTCCTCCCTATCGTATCCCAAGGCTCTTTGTCTGTCTCTGGGTGTACGGCGCTTCTGCATTTTTTCTGGAAACTGGAAATTACTAAAATGGACCTGGTCAGTTGGTCTCTCAACGCGATTGACAACATTTTTTCAACATTGAGAACGGGAGAAGGGGCTCCCCGTTGTCCCTCTGGGACAGAGCCAGTTGGGCATATCATGGACTCCTGTGTAGCGGAGAATTAAGACTACACACTGAAATCACCTCTGTTGCTATTCAGTGGAGATTCCGAAAAATGACCAGTCAGATTAACCTATGAGGCTTAGATCATATATCAACATCACGGATACTTACATATCGATCTAAGTTCATACATCAACCTGTTTGATCTAATTTTAATCCAAAGATTAATGTTTAATTTAGATAATTAAATTTAATAGCAAAAGTTATTTTTAATCAGAAGCTAGGATCTTTGCTTTCAAATAACCAGAAACATTATACCTTTTCTGTGTTTCGTTTCAATAATGAGGCAAGTTTAAAAATGAAAAATGTATTACTAACAATTTTAAACTTAAAGATTTGAAATGACAGTTATGAAATTACAATTCAAGGATGACAATTTAATGACAATTTTTAACAGCTTTGATATTGAACTTGTTTTAAAGCAAACCTGTGGCTGAAATGGAAGCTAAATGAAAAATACGAGTTTGGATGTGTGAATGAAATTATGAGAAGGTTTCTTTCACAGAGAGTTGGAAGCGTTCTGGATGAAATGATGTTTTGCGGCTAACTTGAGTTATTTAGAGAAAAAACAGCATCAAACACATTCTCGTGTTCTACCTCACCCAAACAGGACCCTCTTTCGGATCCGGAGATCAGGAGGATGTGTTCATCCAGGATGACAGTCTGGTAGGGGAGGCACAAGTGTCCGATCGTCTGGTCCAGAGTTGTCCTGGGTACACGGTTGTCAAGCGTTTGGCAGATGGACGTTCTTGTCTTAACTTCAGAAATCAATGACTCTAGGTAGAGTTTTCGTTAGCTGGTTACAGTTCGTTTATTCTTTAGCTATTCCGGTCGGTGTGACTGGAACAGCAGGTGGAGGCTTCAGGGGCGGCCGTTCCCCTTTTCCTCCGTGGTGTTTGTTCAAGTACTCACTCTGAAGCTGGTGGTGGTTAGTTTTACCAAGCTCCAGGACACTCCCACTCTCTCTGGAAGAAAGCTTTGATCATGCATCAAAACATGTGTTGCAGTTATCGTTTATCTGGACACTGTATTAGCTGGATA